TTTGCAGTGAGCGAGATCGCGCCCACTCCCACTCCCCAGCCTGGGCAAACAGAGCGAGACTCCAGTCTGCAAAAAAAAAAAAAAACAAACAAGGCAAATCCAAGTTAAGACTTCTTGATAGTGAATTTCTTCATTTCTCTTGGGGTCCTACTCCTTGATTAAAAACAAATTAACGATGTAAGATTAGGTAGTTTTTGAAGGAAGAAGACAAGTTTAAAAGTATGTGTAAATTGCATGTCGATTATATATATATATATCATGTGATTATAATTTTTTTTTTTTTTTTTTTTTTGAGATGGAGTCTCCGAGGCTCTGCCGCACCCGACGGCTGCAGAAGTGAGCTGGCCGCGATTCATCAGCTCAGCTGCAAGAACTCCGCCTCCGGGTTCACGACCATTCTCCACTGCCTCAGCTCCCGAAGACGTGCGCTGGCGGAACTACAGGGCCCGCACATCGCGCACCCGGCCTGGATTGCCATTTTTAAGAATCTTCTCTTTATGTTCCAAAATTTGCTGTCGAATTCTATGTATAAACAAGTAATAAATAAAATTGCTATTTCAATACTGAAATAAAACTATTTACCATATTAAATTCTTAATGTTTGCTAAATGTATAATCAGACTGATTCTTTTTTCCTCGCTGGCTATAATAAAATACATCTTCACACATCAACATACTTCTGTATCTATTGTCACCTTCAGTGGTCACATATTATTCCATCCTATAGATGCAACTGAAATTTACTCATAAGATCCATTCTATGGGTTCTTTTTAAAATAAGTGCTGTGAAAAACAAAGGGCATGTATCTATTTCCCAAGGGTATTCAGTAAAATGGAATTGAAGGGTAACGGACATACACATGTTTTAAATGTAATACTTACCACCATGTTATGTATTTAAAAAGTAATCAGCAACTTAAACTTTAAGCAGCGTATAAAACATCCTCACACATATTGTGGATAGAGAACAGTTTCATTCCTCTTTTAATTTAAATTCTTATACCAGAAACGCAAAGGCTTTTTTTTTCTATGTACATAAGTAACTTGTAGATCTGCCAAAAAAGTACTTTGCCCACTTTCAGAGTTTTTGATTATTTGATTTGAAAGAATTCCCTGTAAAACGAAGATGCACTTTTCAAGCCGGGCTCGCACCTGTAATCCCAGCACTTTGGGATCTCGGCTCACTGCAAGCTCCCCCTCCCGGGTTCCCGCCATTCTCCTGCCTCAGCCTCCGAAGTAGCTGGGACTACAGGCGCCCGCCACCACGCCTGGCTATTTTGTTGTTGTTGTTGTTGTTGTTGTTGTTGTTTTAGTAGAGACGGGGTTTCACCGTGTTAGCCAGGATGGTCTCAAACTCCTGACCTCCTGATCCGCCCACCTCGGCCTTCCAAAGTGCTGGGATTACAGGCGTGAGCCACCGTGTCCAGCCCTAAAATTTTTAAAAATGTCATTACAATAGTAAAAGACAGTAGGTGTCAAGCAAAACTGTTAAAACCTTGATTTTTTCATTCGGCTTATGTAAACTTGATAAACGCAGAAAGAGCTCACATTTTGAGAAAAATGTGTCTTCCCATTCAAGAACACAGAACCCACCTCCCACTTCCAAGTTTCCCTCTAAGAACCTTCAGTAAGGAACCGATCTACACAGGTGGATACGGATAAAACGGACAGTTTTAAGTGAGAACTTTTCGCTACTAAAAATGACTCACGGTGTTTTTGTTTTTGTTTTTGTTTGAGATGGAGTCTCCTCTGTCACCCAGGGTAGAGTGCAGTGGCGTGATCTTGGCTCACTGCAAGCTCAGCCTCCCGGGTTCACGCCATTCTCCTACCTCAGCCTCCCGAGTAGCTGGGACCGCAGGTGCCCGCCACCACGCCCGGCTAAGTTTTGTATTTTTAGTAGAGACGGGGTTTCACCGTGTTAGCCGGGATGGTCTCGATCTCCTGACCTCCTGATCCGCCCGCCTCGGCCTCCCAAAGTGCTGGGATTACAGGCTTGAGCTTCCGCGCACGGCTGACTCACGGTATTTTTTGATAGGGGAATGAGTTCTCTCATTAGGCACCTCCTATAATGTACATAATACCATGATTTAAACGTGTAGGTTAAAAATAAAAACACTGTATATGCTTCGCTTTGTGAGTTAAATCACTCACATTCTCCACCAAGTGCTCCGGCCGGGGAATTATGAGGGATGCAGAGCAGCTGAGGCTCCGTTTGGCACCGCCGCTCCGAGGGCGTCCTGCGCCCTCCAAGGCCCGGTCCCAGGGGCTGCGGGGAAGCCGGGCCCGGGGACCCCCTCCCACCCTGGGCCGAGCCCCCCGCTCCCTGTGCGGCCTGTCCCAGGCTTCCAGGTCTCTGCTCCCGCGCGCCAGGCGGCGCTCCACCTCCGCGGCATCGCCCGTGACAGCGCCCTGTGGATCCTCCGCAGTTCCGCGTCCCAGATTCGGTGCCCGAACCCGTGCAGACGTGGTCTGTGGGGCCCAGGCCCGCTGGCCCCTGCGGCTCCCGAAGCCGAAGAACTTCTTCAAGGAGGTGAGTTCTTCTCAGACCCCCAACCACCGGCTCCTGAGCCGCGGCAGCTCCCTGTCCCCTTTTCACCGCCCCCCGCCCCACACCCAGCCCCAAACCCCCAATCAACTCCCAATCCCCGATCCAACCTCTGCGATCTAGCCCAGAATCCGCGATCCAGCCCGGTCCACCCTTCAGCAGCGACACTCGCAGCCTCCGACCTCTCAGACCTACTGACCCCTCAGACCCAGTGAGCCTCGCAGAACCGTTAGGCGCGCGCCTGCACCGCGGGGGCCACGCGGCTCCCCGAAGCCGCTCCCAGGCGGCGCCCGCCGACAGGTGGGGCTGCAGCCCGGGGCAGGCGCCGCTGGGCTCGCGGGTTCTCCTGGCGGGCCCGGGCAGCCCCAGGGCCACAGGCGGAAAATCGCAGGCGCGCAGCCCGCCCTGCCTGAGGAGGGGGGCCAGTCTGGCCACGCACCTACCCTGCTCATCGTCCGCAGGGAGATCTGGGGCTGGCACGGGCACTCCGCGGCCACCGGGCTGGCTTCACGGATGGCCTGGCTTCAGCGCTGAGGCTCTGGCCCTGGGGGCTGCCTGGCTGGTGTCAGGCAGCGGGAGAGGCAAGGACAGTCTGCGGTTGCCCCTTCCCCCACCCGCCCCACCGCTTGCCGTGCCAGGACGGGCAGTTTGCAGCTGCACCTCTGGCACTGGCGAGGGATGGCGGAGCTTCCCTTGAATGATGTCGGGGTCGCCGAGTGCACAGCCTACCTGGTCTGAGGGTCCTCTCCTCCTGGACACCTCTTCGGATCCTGGACCCTGGCGCTGGGCAATCCACATGGATGAGACTGATCTGCTGCTGGTGAAGCCGACCGCCTGACTTTGTAGCCTGGGCGACTGGCCCCAGAATCCGCGCTGCTGGGGATGGGGGCCTGGTCTGCGGTGTCCAGCCACCCGCTGCCCGCGCGCCACGTCTAGGCTGGTGGCTGCAGCTGCAGCTCCGCACCTGCGGGGGCTGGCGGGCCTGGTACCTGATACCATCAGGGTCAAGTGCACCGCCCACCCACCTGAGGGTCTGCTCTGCCTTGGCCTCCTCCGAGAGCGCAGGGGCCACCGGGGTGGCAATTTAGGAATGCCTAAATTGAAGGAAATATCCTTTCTCTGTCTTTAAGAAATAAGTGGCTTTTGTTGTTGTTGTTTTTGTTTTTGCGAGATACCCAGCTACAGCAGAAAACAAAGGGGATGCCAAGGTGAAGGTCCACAGCCAGTTCCTCTATTGATGACCTCCAGGCATTAATGTTCAATCTAACTGCTTTGGTTGGCACTTTCACCTCAGCACTTACAGATGCCTACAGATCTGTTCAATTGCATCGCATGGATTCTGAATTATTTAATACCCAATTATTTCATAATTTAATACCCAAACTATTTTAACAGTTTACCATCTCTGCAATCCTAAAGTAATTTTTTCTTTGTTTATAAAACAATCGCTATAGTAAAATCAAAATCACAAAACACTTCCACATTTCATTGGGTTAAAAAAGCATTAAAACATTATACATAAAAGATAAAAAATATATTTGTTTCATCATAAAACTATGGCTTTGCAAAATTTTTTTACATTTAGCTACATTCTTATGATTCTTTAACTTTTCACCGTTATTTTATATATTTTTAAAACAATGCATACCAGTGTTTAAAAAATAAATGCAGCATTTCATCTAGGGCTGAATATGTAACACTGGTCAGCTTTTTCAGCATCGTGCAGGTGTGGGCCTCAGGCTGCTTTGTATTTACTTATATCAAATGACGTGACCATCTTAAGTGCACAGATACCATCTTCTCGGCTTCTTTCTTCTCCCCCAAAACTATTTAATGTTGCTTTAATGGCAATGTCAATTTAACTAGTTTTGTAATTTCTGTATTTGTCACATAACATGTCAGTTCTTTTTTTTCTTTTTTTTTTTTTTAAAGGAAAGCATATAGTCTTAGTTGCTGGGCCAGTTCTTCTGAATCAGTTTGAAATCACCTTTTTTCTCTTTCATAATAACTACTTACTTTAATCAACAGGTCAACTATTATTGGATATTATTTTTTCAGTTAAAATTTTGCTGTCTTTCAAATATTCCAACTCTTACACACACTTAAGGTACATAACTATAGCCTATACATATATAAGCACACGTTAAGCCAGATCTAACATAAATTTAGATATGCCAAGAAAGCCACGTGACCATTATTTACATAAATATGAGCAGTGTTCACATTTATCAAGGCCAATGAATAATATTAAGGTGATTGCTTCAATGAGAAATTAAGTGAAGAATTATTTGTTGAATATTGTCAGATAATACCTTTTTTTACCCTGTTAAACTTATTTAAGCCGGACCCAAATAATTTTTAAACGTTTTATTCTATCATGCCTGTAGACAGGTTCATATATTAACCATTTCTGCTTTCATGGTCCTTTGAGAATGGTATCTTAGCATGTAAGTGCAATAAATAAACAACTTTTATAGGAATAAAGAAAACTGATACAAATTAGTCTGGAAAATCTAGTGTGTAGCTGAGCAGCCATGTGCTCATCTAAACCTCAAGGGATGGTTCTGTTAAAAGGAAGAAAAGAAGAATAGTATGTAACAGAAGCCTGCTTTGTGCCCCCAGGTTACAGCTGTGGCCACTCAGTCTGCCTTGCGCCTCCTTCTTCTCACAGAGGACACACTCATCCCAGCCCCAAGCAAGAAAGACCAAAGTCCCTTGCCGGGCACGGTGGCTCACACCTGTAATCCCAGCACTTCGGGAGGCTGAGGCAGGTGGATCATGAGGTCAGGAGATTGAGACCACCCTGGTTAACATGGTGAAACTCCGTCTCTACTAAAAATACAACAACAACAACAACAACAACAAAATAGCTGGGCATGGTGGCGGGCGCCTGTAGTCTCAGCTACTCAGGAGGCTGAGGCAGGAGAATGGCATGAACCTGGGAGGCGGAGTTTGCAGTGAGCTGAGATAGCACCACTGCACTCCAACCTGGGCGACAGAGTAAGACTTCGTCTCAAAAAAAAAAAAAAAAAAAGACCAAAGTCCCTTTCAGTTACTGTATCCAACCCAAAGTGGGACTACAGGCCTGCACAACCATGCCCAGCTAATGTTTTGTATTTTTTAGTAGAGATGGGGTTTTACCATGTTGGCCAGGAGGGTCTCGATCTCCTGACCTCGTGATCTGCCTGCCTTGGCCTCCTAAAGTGCTGGAATTACAGGTGTGAGCCACGGCGCCTGGCCTTGCCTGATCTTTTTAAAGATCACACCATACCTACTCAAAGCACACACCAAATTATACGGAAAAAAAACTTACAGAGAGAGATCCTCAGCTTCCTGCAGGACAATGCTAACTCAATTTTCTTTGGTCATACTGAGGAGTTCTGATCAGAGACCCTCTGGTAGAAGAGCACATAGGCATTCCAGTATCTTCAGCATACACCACTGTACAGGTCTGCATTATAATAAAACATTAAGGAAGAGGTCAGTAAAAGTTTTTCTTGTCTTGAAAATCTAAAACAGAGGGTCCATAAATCCAGCAAAAATAACTACTCGCTAAACTTGTTAAATGCAAAATATAAATCAAATGTGGGTCTCTTGGAGTACTGCTCAGAATGGAGCTCAGGGTACTTCAGTTCTGGGACTAAAACCAATCCCTTACTTGGGAGTGATACTGGAGGGGAAGGAAGAAGCAAGGGAGTTGTTCAGCAATGGAGTAAGGAAAAGAAATAGCCTAGAAAAGTCTACGTTTAAGCAAATAGCAAGTAACATTTAAAAATATGTTCTATGGATCTCTTGCTACAGCAATGTGAGTGGGAGCACCAGGAGCCCAATCTCAGAGTGGGACGCCACGGATTGTTTTATGAAAACGGCAGCTGGGATGTGGAGGAAGAACCCCCTGCAAGTTGGACAGGAGCCACAAGCTGCACTCTGAACCTGACCACTCTGCACCAAAGCCATCGGCCCGTGGGTCTCCGAGGGGACCTGCCAATTGGACTGCAAATTCCCCAGTTTGCCCCCAGGTATTATAGAAAATTATTTGTGTAAATAATGTAAAGAAAACACACCTATGGCAAAAACATATGCATGTTCTTTCACACAGGGTGAAATCATAACTGGTCTCATCTCAACATTTCCTCAAAGATCAGCCAAATCTAGGTCAATTCTGGTAAACATATTATATTCAACCTTAAAGGTTGCCACCATTAGATGCATGGCTATGACAGTATGGTACCTACATCTAAACTAGTGAATCTAATGCAGGTAAGAATTCAGAAATGCCCCCAGATGATTTCAAAGCCAAATTTCAGCTAAGGTCTCCACAAAATGGCTATTTTCAAACATAGCACATTCTGACTGGGTTTGCTGAGGTACTTTCCCTCGTACTTTTTTTTTGTCCTGGGACTGGGGGTTGTGGAAGGAAAGACTGCTTTGCAATATTGCATAATAAATATGGTTCTAAAAGTGCAGGTGTTAGAAATATCTTCCCTAATTAACCACACTCCTACGTAAGTGAAAAGGAAATCTGAAAATTTTAGTGGCAAATTACTTCTTCTGAAACTAATCTTAATGTTGGACTTCTTTATTCATTAGTTTCTCTTTGATATTCGTATCATCCCCGTAACTCACTCTTCTTTCACACCAACCTGCACCCCGCAAGGCTGATGTAAAGAATTACCTTTAAAAAATCTTATAAGCAGCTGGAACATTTTCATTCCAGTTATCAACAAGATCGTTCATGGTTCTTTAACTAAAATAGAAATGTTAGAAAAAGAATAAAATCTGTTGTAGTTTTACATAAAGAACACTACTTCCAATTTTATACAGAACTATAAATTAAAAATAAACTAATAGAAAATAGTTATTTGTAAATAATTACTTTGATCATCAACTTTTGATCTCTATTCTCCTCCAAAGCATTCATACTTCAGGGTCTCACGATTTAGGTCCAAGTCTCCTCTGTGTCACTAAATGTCTACCACTTTCCCTTTCCACACCCCATAGAGCCCAGATGCCAGAGAAATAAAAGGTTAAAAAAACAAGCATCCTGGCTGGGCGCAGTGGCTCCTGGTTGTAATCCCAGCACTTTGGGAGGCCAAGGTGGGAGGATCTCATTGAGCTCCAGAATTTGAGACCGGCATGGGCAATATGGCAAGACCCTGTGTCTCTACTGAAAATACAAAAATTAGCCAGGCGTGGTGGTGTGTGCCTGTAATCCCAGCTACCCAGGAGGCTAAGGCAGGAGATTCACTTGAATCTGCAAGGTGGAGGTTGCAGTGAGCTGAGATCGTGACACTGCATTCCAGCTTGGGTGACAGAGCAAGACTGTCTCAAAAAAAGAAAGAAAGAGAAAGAAAGGAAGAAAGAAAGAAAGAAAGAAAAGAAAGAAAGAAGGAAAGAAGGAAGGAAGGAGAAAAAGAAAGAAAGAAAGAGAAAGAAAGAAAAAACTGTTAATTGTTTTAAAAACAAAATCATTCCCAACGTATGTTCCCTCACATTCCTAAATTTTTGCAAGTGCTGTCTCTTCTATCTACGAAAAGTGTTTCCGCTTCATTTCCTGCAAACGTTGATTTACATAACACTCAACTCTGACCTACAAAGAATAAGTCTGGCTTCCTATGACGTTCCAGGAGACAGCGAAAGGCAGCTTGAAAAGCATCCTCCCATCCCGGGTCTGGTATTCCAGTGTACCCACAACTTCCCTCCCTCTTGCAGGTCCCAACACATACTGAGCTGCTCATGGCTCCATCGCTGGGCTCACATTCTTCTCATTGCTGGAATGGAATGACCTTCCTCTGCTTGCTTCACTTGCCTCGATAGCTTTTAAGGTTCTCTTTTAAATTTTACCACCAGGCCCTAAATTTCATCCACCATACATGAGGATGATCCTAGGTGGACATCAGAACCCAATTGGACATCCTGTCTCCAGGTGAATAATAGGCCCCCCGTGGAAGTCCAGCCCCAGGTTGACACCAAGGCTCCAGGTAAACACCAAGCCCAAGGTGAGCATTAGGCTTCCGGTAAACACCAGGCCCATGTGGATTACTAGGCCTCCGGCAGACATTAGGCCCCAGGTGTACCCTCGGGCCCCAGGTGAGTATCTATGCCCCAGCTGAACATCAGTCAACAGGTGGATGCCCAAGCCCTTGATAAACACCAGACAACAAATGAACATCAGGCCCCAGAGAGACATTTGGTCCAGGTGGATACCTAGGTGGCCTGGTGAACCTCAGGCTCCTGATAAACACCCAGGCCACAGAAAGATAACAGGCCACACCTAAACACCCAGGCCTCAGGTGGGTATCAGGCCCCAGCTAAACACCAGGCCCCAAGTGGACACTGAACTCAGGTGCCAGGCTGACACCCAGGCCCAGTTGCATACCAGGTCATAGGGGAACATCAGGCCCCGAGAGGATACTCAAACCCCAAGTAGGTATCAGACTGCAGGTGAACACCCATCCCCAGAAGAACACCCAGAACACCCATCCCCAGAGGCTACGCAAGCCCCAAGTAGCCATCAGGCCCCAAGTGAACACCAAGCCCGACGTGGATATCAGAACCCAGGTAGGCGCCCGGCCTAGGGAGTACTCCTAGGCTCCAGGTAGACAACGTGCACACGTGGCACCAGGTGAATAATCAGTCCCAATGTGGACACAGGATCCCAGGTGAACATCAGGCTCAAGGCTGACAGCCAGGCACCAGGTTTACATGAGGACTCAAGTGAAAACTTCACTCCGAATGGACATCAGACCCCAGGCGAAATTCAGACCCAAGTGAATACCAAGTGATACCTAGGCTCCACTTGGACAGCTAGTCCCCAGGATTTCAGGCCCTAGGGTGACACCCAGGCTCCAGGTGGACATCAGGCTCATGGTAGAAATTAAGATACAAGTTGACACCTAAGAATTCGGTAAACAGGAGGGCACATGTAAATTACTAGGCCCCAGGTGAACACCCACGCCCCAGGATGACACCAGGCCCCATGTGAACATCAGGTCCCAGGGTAACATCAGGCCTCATATGGATACCTAGATGCCTGGTGAACATGAACATCAGGCCACAGATTGAAACCAAAGCCACAGAAGGGTATCAGACCCCATGTAAATACCCAGGCCCCAGGTGGGAATCAAGACCTCCTGGTAAACACCAGGCTCCTAGCAGACATTAAGGCCCAGCACAACGCCTGGCCCCAGGTGAACAACAGGCCTAAGGTAGCTATCAGGACCCAAGCGGACACTGGACTCAAGGTATGTACATCAGGTGTACCATAGTAATCCACATGGGGCCTGGTGTTTACCGGTGTCCAGCATCCCAGTTGGACACCAAGTCACACGGGGACACAGACCCCAGGTGGACACCCAGTCTCAGGATGGAAATCAGGCCCTAGTTAAACAGAAGGCCCCAGGTGAACATCAGGCCCCTGGTGGACACCCAGGCCCCAGATGGATACCAGGCCCCAGGTGGACATCAGACCCAAGGTAAA